TTTGTTTGGTTTGAAATTTTTTTAAAACAATTTTCAAAATCACTTTATCTCTCTTACATATCAATCAATTACTTTTTCTTTCTTCTTCTCAATCATTTTTTCTCTCACACGCATCTACTCAATTACAACAAAATATCAAATCATTTCAAACTCCAAAATTGTAATGGCCCGGTGTGTTATCCGTCTCGTTCCTCTTGTTTAACTTTGATTATGCCTTGCTAGTGTGTCAAGTTTTGATTAGAGCCTTGTTAATCCTTAGGGATTTGAGATGTTCAGAAGTTTTCTCTCAAAATTTATTTCGGTGTTGATTTTTCACTTATTCCGAAGAGCGTGAGGTCAGGTCCGGAGCGCTCGGGGGTTGAACCAAAATTTTTCTGGATTGTTTGGCTAGCCGCACGTGCGGGGAGTGAGGTTGCACGTGCGGATTTCAGAGGAAAGCTGGGACAGCACACTGCATTATATGCAAGTGCGGGACTGGTGCGTGCGGGGAGGGCCACACGTGCGGGACGACTGGCAGTTCGAAATCCTTGTTTTTATTTCTCTATTTTGGCTGAATGTATCACTTCAGCTACACCTCTCTCTATCTAAAAATACATATTTTTCCCTTCTTTCTACATTTCTAGCTCAAAAGCAAGATCAAAACACTTGCAGCACACTGCATTATATGCAAGTGCGGGACTGGTGCGTGCGGGGAGGGCCACACGTGCGGGACGACTGGCAGTTCGAAATCCTTGTTTTTATTTCTCTATTTTGGCTGAATGTATCACTTCAGCTACACCTCTCTCTATCTAAAAATACATATTTTCCCCTTTTTTCTACATTTCTACATCAAAAGCAAGATCAAAACACTTGATCCTTTTCCATCCACTTGGAATCTAACCATAGTTTCTACATCAAAGATATAAAATTCCTCAAGAGCTCTCTTGTGTGAGGTGGAGGTTTGGTTCTTGGCACCGTCAATCCTAGGGTTTCAACTCTTTTTGCTCATCAAAAACTTTGAGGTATGGACTTCTTGAGTCATATATACATGTTTTGCTATATATATGTTGATTTTAAAAGTTTTCTTGAAGATCTCATGTTCATCTTTATTTTGAGATTTAAAAACCTAGAGGGTCTTGAGAGTGGGTTTAAATCTTAACTCTTTTGTTCTTCCTAGAGGGCTTTCCATTCATTTGACTTAAGAAATGTGATTTTGGTTTGGGTTTCACTATGAAGGGGACAAATGTTGGGTTTTTGATGAAAACCCTAGAAATTGGGGATTGTGGAAAAGATGGAAATGTCTATGATATTCTTAATCTTCTTGTGTTAAAAAGAATGGATGAGTGTAGACTTCATGGTGTGATTTTACAAATGACAATTGAAATGATATATCGAAATGAAGAAAATTGTTTTAGAGATTATCATTAAATACTTGAATGATTTATATTGCTATGAGATGACAAAATTGTTATGCACTATGGATTGTGAGAAATATGAATATTGGAGATTAATGTTTGAAAAACATCGCATGTGGCCTTGAAAGGATTAAATTGATGAGAAATCGTTGTTGTGTGTTGAAGACACATGGTTATTTTGCGAAATAACGTTGAAGGAGGAAATAAGAAATGTATTATTTGTTATTGTTGTTAAGACATTTGGAAACGGAGAAAGGCCCTGAGGCATGGAAATTCATTATCTTGCATACTCATTCAATTAACTATTATGCATTGTGTAAATTGAATGGAAACATTTACTTCCAGAAAAGGACATACTTATTGTAATAAAAACAACGAAAATGTGTAATGGGGTAAATACGTGGTAAGTCTGGATAAGGGATATAGTTGAATTTGATAAGTTGGCCTGAGTGTCCATGGTGAAAGACTAGAAACCAGCGCGGATAGGTGTCGAGCCTTCCGGTTAATACCGTTAAAAATGACAATTTGGTAATACTTGTAGAGTCTACTTGCAGACACCAGCCTAGGGATTACCAGTGTCGTATTTACTGCCCCCTATTGATTAAAATTAGAAGTTTTGAAATGTGTTGCGATTGTAAGCTTGTATTGAAAAATGGAAATCTTCAAGAAGAGCATGAAATGAATTTTCTTTAAAAGAGCATGGCATGGCATAGACATTTGCATTTTTATTGAGGGTTGCATAACTGTATATACTTTGTGAGAATTCTCTACTGGGCTTTATGCTCACCCTTATGGTTGGAAATCTTGCATAAATGTATATACTTTGTTAAGGTTTCTCTGCTGGGCTTTGTGCTCACCTCTATGGGATTTGGTGCAGGTAAGGATGTGGTGGTCTCGCCGAATTGAGGGCATGGATATTTTGTGAAAGGTAAATAGTTCTCTTATTTTTGTTGTAAATTTTTATAAGCCAAGGGATAAACTCGTATGGGTCCAAGAGGCCATTTTGTGTTATCGGGCTATTGCCTTGGAAGATGTAAGCCCTCAAGGGCATTTTATTGCTTTAAGACTAGGTGTTTCACATGCTATAGATTCATGTGTATTTTTATCATTGAATGTATATCCGCATGTGGAACTTTTGTATAAAACTCTCTTATTAACTATGTGAAGATGGGAAGTTTATTGCCATGGTTTAGTGAATGTTAGTTAATGTGGGTAGTTAATGTTAAATTATTTCGGGACATTACAAAAACTATTTTTAAAATACACAACCAAACAAATCAAAAAAATTTCTAAACTCACTCCCCAAAATAATTTTTAAAAACTACTCTCTCAAAACCAAACCAAACATACCCAAAATATTTTACTAAAAAAATTATTAAATACTTCCCAAACATCATGTATTTATATCTTTTTATTAATTATTATGCGTTATAATTTTTTATATTTCTGAATCACTCTTTATATAATTATAAATTTTATCCATTTTATTAATTGTAATATTAATTATTATACATTATAATTTTTTATATTTCTGAATCACTCTTTATATAATTATAAATTTTATCTTTTTTATTAATTGTAGCATTTGGAAATAGCACGTAATCGTATTTCAGAAGACCCAATAACCATTCCTTTTGCTGAGTCACCCTAACTCCCATCCATCCGTTAAATCTAATTCCATGTGTCATTATCTCAACACATCCAATGGATGCGGCAGTTGGTGAGATAGACTTCTATCTGAAAACCTCGCCAGATTCATAACTGCACCCGAAACTCCTCCGATATGACCTCTTCCCCCCAACTTAATCATTTTTAATTAAGTTGAGTCGCATTTTGTCGACAGCATAACTCAGGAAGTCAAAACTAGGGCCGAGGTTAGCAACAATTGTGGGTGCGAAGGATTTCCGAAGGTGAATATAGGTTCGGGTTCTGTAAAAAGGGTTGTAGAAGAAGAAGAAAAAAAGAGTTTCTTGCATCTCAAGGTTAAGGTTTGGATTGATGATAACATATGGCCATTATTGTGGCGATGACGCTTAAGTAACAACACTAGTCTACATATATTAGTAGACTAGTTCAATTTTCTCTAGTTACATATATAAGCAAACTAGTTCAATTTTCTTTGAGTTTTAATTTTCTATAATTTGGTCAAAACACAAAAAAATTTATGAGCAAATCAGAGAAATTTTAACTCAGAAAAATTTTAAAACACAAAGAAATTTGTCAATTTGTCTGTGTTTTGAAATTTCTCTAAATCTAATTTTTTTCTGGAAAAACGTTAAAAATTCCCAACTATTATCAAAATATTACATGTCTTTTATTTTATAAAATCTTAATATTAGAGACTTTAAAAAAAAATCTATGAATATTTTGTTACCAAAATAAAAGTAAAATAATTAAAATAAAAAAGGAAAATTACACCCCAATGGAAGGCAAAAAAATTACAAATTTATGAAAAAATTAATAAATTTAATTATTAGTATTTATAATTTTTTTTTATTAATTTGTAATTACTTTTTGAAACATCTAATAATATAATATTTCCTTTAAATAAAAAAATAAAAAAAAATTAACCGGGAAAAAAATAATAAATAAAAAAAGTTAGATTTGTTTTTGGTAGTCAAGAAAGGAGTGACGTGTTCGGTAATAAAAGATTTGACCGACTGAATTAACGGAACCGAACGTCCGTATCCACGTGAGCCGAATCCCACGTTCCCCAAACAAATATTTTACTAAAAAAAATTATTCAATGCTTCTCCAACGTCACGTATTTATGGTTTTGTTTGGTTTTTTTTGAGAAATTAATTTTAAAGAAATTTTTTTAAAATTTTGTTTGATTTAATAATTTTGAAAAAAAAAAATTTAAATTACTTTTTACTTCCTATATATCAATCAATCATTTTCTCTCTCTTTCTCTTTCTTTCTCAATCACTTTTTCTATCGTATTTCAGTATAAAAAAATATCAAATCATTTCAAATTCTTATATTCCAAAATTAAACAAACCAAAGATCTTTTTAAAATCTTCTAAAATCAAACCAAATACAATACCTTTTTATTTATTATTATACATCATAATTTTTTATATTTCTGAATCACTGGCTAACTAATTATAAATTTTACTTTTTATTTATTTATTAATTATAGTATCTTGGAACAGCACCTAACCGTATTTCAGAAGCACCAATAGCCATTCTTTTTGCTGAGTCACCACAACTCCCATCCATCCGTTAAATCCAATTCCACGTGTCATTATCTCAACACATCCAATAGATGCGGCGGTTGGTGAGATAGACTTCCATCTCAAAACCTCGCCGGATTCATAATTGCACCCGAAACTCCTCCGATACGACTCCTTCCCGCAACTTAATCATTTTTAATTAAAATTAATTAATATATATATATATATATATTTTTTAATAAATGCAACGGATTTCGGGAAAAAAAAAAAAAAAAAAAAGAAAAAGAAAGTAAAAAAAAAAACAGTTTCTAAAAATGAAAATTAGGGGTATTAGGGACAACTTTTTTAGGGCCACCAATCATTTTCCTTTTAATAAATGCAACGGATTTCGGCTATTAAACCCTATAAAACAGCACTATCAGTTGTTTGGGACGCCACCGCAACTGGACTTCTTCTTATCCTCTCTCTCTCTCCTCAACCCTTCTCTCAATCACCCTCAATCGTTTTCCCTTCTCTTTCTCCGAGATTTTCTCGAGAAACTCTTAACGGAAATATCAAGAACTACACAGCTTCTTGCTCTCTGAGTAGAAGTGTGCTTCCACCCCGGAAAAAAGAAAAGGAAAAAAAGAAAAGCTTCATTCACACGACCCACCACCATTTATTATTCCAATCCCTTTTTTCCCACTGTTTTCCTTTCTCTTTCCCGTCAAAACCTGCAACTTTCCAAGAAAATTTCACTTTTTTCTCACACTACCGACCAAGCTCTCACTCAGTCTCTCTCTCAGAGTGATTCACGCCTTGTGGTGTGCTTTCCGTACTCTTATCTCTTGGTTTCGCACTTTTTTTTTTCTTCTTTCTCTTCTTTCCTGTTTCGTCGAAATTTCTACTCCAATATCTTTCAAATTAGTGCTGGGTTTATCTCCATTTGGAAGCTCTCTCTCTCTCTCTCTCTAACTAAACGTCTCTATCTCCTTCTCCTCCAGTCAGATCCCAAAGGAATCTCACCTTCTTTTTCATTGTGACACTATTTCACGCTCTCACTCTCTATACCTTTCGTTTTCAATGCGAATCTGAGCAATCTGTAGATATATGGACCGAACTATGCTGTGTCCAGTGAAGTATAGTGAACACACACACCGCACCACCATGGCCACCACATCGCCTCCGGCAACTCTATCCGGCCAAATGAGACCGAAAATTGTACGGATATCGGTAACCGACGCCGACGCAACCGACTCTTCCAGCGACGAAGAAGACGGACTCTTCAGACGTAACAGAGTCAAGAGGTTCGTCAACGAAGTCACCATCAAGTCTTGTTCACGGGACACAAACAGTAACGGTGATTGTAAAACCAGACGGTTGTCTGCGGCGGGGTCGACCACCAATCGCCGCCGTAAAAAGTCTGCCGGTAAATTACAGCATACGGCGGCGAGGTTTACGGGGAGGAAGTTTCGCGGCGTGAGGCAACGGCCCTGGGGAAAATGGGCGGCGGAGATCAGAGATCCGCTTAGACGTGTACGGGTATGGTTGGGTACCTACGATACGGCTGAAGAAGCCGCTATGGTTTACGACAACGCGGCTATTCAGCTGCGTGGACCCGACGCGCTCACTAATTTCGCTACGCCGCCCAAAACAGCTCCGACTGTGCCGCCGGGGATCAAAACGGCGTCGTTGTGTTCGGGTTATAATTCCGGCGAAGAGTCTCACACCAACAACAATCTCCTCTCTCCGACGTCTGTTCTGCGTTTCCAGTCGGAGGCTCCGAACGACGAAGCCGAGTCAAACCACGTCGTCGTCGGCGGCGGCGGAGAAAGCCGAGATTTAAAAGATGGTGACATATCGGTATCGGCGAGATTTGCGGATTTCTCGCCGTTGGATAAGTTCTTTCCGGACGACATGTTTGGATTGCAAGACCCGGTTTCGGACTTGTTTGTGGATTCGGGTCTAAAAGAGAACATTTTTGGAGAAGATTTTGGGGACTTGATTGTCGGGTTAGGTGATGATTTCGGGTTCGGGCAATCGATAGGGCCAATTGACGATTATTTTCAATTCCAAGACATTGGCGATATATTTGGATCTGATACTCTCGTTGCTCTTTGAGATTCTCGGGGTTTGACTCGGCAAATTTTGCATCGGCGGGAATGAAGTTTTTGTTTTTTATAACTATTATTATTATTTTAAATTAGAGTTTTTTTTGGGGTGAGTTAATTTGTAAGTTTTTTTAGTAAGTGTGAAATTATAAACGACACCGTCGTATCAACGGTGACGGACGAGGCATTGAGAGTTGCATGTACTGTATTAAAAGGCAAGGCACGTACTGAGTGAATGGATTCGGTACCCTTAATTTGCGCTGTCTCAAATTTTATTTATTTAGTTAGAATTAATTTGAGAATTTAGTTATTTTAGTTAGTTTTTTATTTTTTTTTAATTTTTTGATTATTTTATCTTGACTAAAAAAATCGTGTTTGGCATGATTTTTATTTTTATTTTTATTTGTGTAGTTGATTTGATAATTATGAAAAAAAAAATAATAATTATAATTTAGATGTGATATTTTGTTTTATTAATTATTTTATTTTATTTTTGTTTTTATTAATTATTTTAACCAAAAATTTGTAAATTTGGCTTGTCCACTTGTATTTTATTTTTTATTTTATAAGTACTCACTCCACTTTTGTTTTTGTTCAGCGAATTTTCAATCAAACACTTCAACATGTTGTTTGTAAACTCCCTAATAAAAGTGTTTTTATTTATTGAATTTTCAATAAATACTTTAACATGTTGTTTGTAAACTCTTTAATGTTGTGTTTGGTTAGGGGATTTAAGAAGAAATTTGGAAAGGAAAATGGAAAAAGTAGGTGAAATGTGAATAACATATATCTATATTTCATCTAGTTTCACATACATTTTTTCTTTCCCTTTTCAAATTTCTCTCTAAATTTTCCAACCAAACACAGCATAAGAGTGCAATTTATAGAGCCGTTCATAATTTTTATTTATTTATTTTGAAATTATGTACAAAATATTTTGTACAATTTATGGGACAAAAATAAGCAGCACTAAAAATAAGTGTAAAGTCATGCTTTGCCAGATTTTTTTAGCCATTGGTATAATTGTCAAGAGTTAAGTTATCATTGTGTTGTATGAAGTCAAAATAAGAGGTGCAATAAGATTAGCCTCTGTTTGGCAAGATGGTTTTCAGGTTTTTTTGGTTATTTTAGCCACAAAAAATAAAATAGGCTATTTTAGCCATAACAAACAAAACATCACATCCAACCTATAATCATTATATTCTTCTCTCACAAAAAAAGTTAAAAAAGTCAAAAAGTCAAAAAGCCCTTCCCAAACCAAGCTTTTTAGCCCAGGCTAAAATAGCCAAAAAAGTCAAAAAGTCAAAAAGCCAACCTACTTCCCAAACCAAGCCTAAAAAAAATAAATAAATTGACTGCAAATAACACTTTCCTATAACTTTGTGGTGCTGGACATGTGCTTGCACAGTCAGCTATTCAAATTAATTTGACTAATTCGTACATGGCATATGGAAAAATTGCAAAATGCTTATGAATTTCTTTTTTTTTTTTGGACCTGATTTTAGGATTCTTTAAAATAAAAATCAAAGGATTAGATGAAGACCTAAAACCACATTTTTTAAAAATGAAATAAAATGACAATTTTCACAGCACATTTAATTTGGTTATAAACTAAATTTTAACTTTTAATTTATTTTGTGTCATATCAACTCTCTACGTTTTTATATATTTTCTCAAAAAAATAAAAAAATCAACTTTTAACAATATTTCCAAAACAAGTCATTATAAAGAAATTGTGATCCCCATTTCAACCATAACGTGAAGATCTTAGCTATGGCTCTAAAGTGGTCTGTTGAGCTTGCAATGTTGGTTCAATTTATCTATCTTTGATCCAAATGTTCACCAAGCATGTAGGTAGGTATGGTAGGTCAATCCCTGATCTAACGTCAAATAGTTGTCTTAGTGGACAAAACTTAGGATATGTAGGCATACTCTCTTTAAATCTCAAGTTTGATCATCCTAATCATAATAAGTTTTTTAAGATTATGTTTATATAGGACATCTGCTATAACTTTAAATGAAACTCTCGCAAATAGGCAGTGATATTGATCTTTCAGAGTTAGTTAAAGTGCACGTAAACTGGTTCAGATACCCGATTAAAAAAAAAAAAAAACAAAAAACAGGTCAATCCTTGATCTTGAGCTTTTAATCCACTTAACTTGAGAAAGTAACCATGGAGCTCTGTGTGTGCACGTGTAGAGAAAAACTTCCTGTTGTTAAGATTAGCCACTCCAAGAAATGGTTGTCCTTCACTTTTCTTATCTCTGTTGGGTTTTTGGGAACAATGGTAAAAAGTCAGTTTTTTTGACTTTTTAATTTTTTTAGTAAAAAAAGTTAATTTTTTTTACTCAAAATAACTCAGTTTTTTTGTAAAAAAAAGTCACCAAAAAGTCAAAAAATTAACTTTTTACTAACTTTTCAAAATATCACAATGTTTTTGTTTTTTTTTTTTTACTTAAACCATGGAAGAGTAAAAAATGGTATTGTTTGGTGGATCTTACAATATTGTTTATAGCTATTTTTATATTAGAAATTTATGTCAAAATGGTTAGTACAATTTCTATTTATAATTTATAAGACAATAACTTAAATAAAATAATAAAAAAATTGATTATGTGCTTTTAAGTTCTACTTCTAATTATTAACTTGTCCGTTGGAAAAAGAAGCATCAAACAAATCCAATATCCAATGAAATGATGCCATCACAGTAGATTTTAGGCCACAAATCGACCTAAGAAGCAGTTGTTTATTTAAAATTTTATTATTTTAAAAAAAAAAAATCTAGAGAAACCAAATACATGAATAACATTAACACAATAATCTTATTCTGAATAATGTGATTTTCTCAATTGTTCTTTTTAGTCATTGTCATCCAAACATAGCTTAAGATTCAATTTGGATGATGACTGTTTTATTATTTATTGAATCTATATCATTTTCTAAACTGAACAGTAATTTGATCTTCACACTTTACCATAGGAATTTGTCATCCTTGAAGGAAAGAAACAAGGCTTCTCACTAATGGTATGTTGACATTTTTGTAAGTAAATATCCTTTTAATGGTTCCCCATTTTAAAATAATAAATCCCAATACAACACATCATCATGTACACAAATTTTGTTTAATTCTTCTGTTATATGCAAATATAATCAAACATTAAAAAAATGTTAAAAATATATACAAAAAATTGTATACAAAATGATGTGATGATGACAATTTGAGTAATTATGAGATATATTACTATGTTTTTAAAATACAATGAATAAATATAATTGTATAAATATCTCTCTATATATATATATATATTTTTATACACAAACTCTATTTATATATCGAAAAATGTTTGAGGCCACAAATCAGTGGCTCAAATGGCTCGAAACTGTTTTGGCTTGTTTTGCGTCTAAAACGATGTCATTTTGACAGTTTTGAGCCATTCGAGTCACTGAATTTCGGGTCACCAACCATTGCTGTTATATGTCAATACCCATACTAAAAACTTTGTCTCCCCCTCCCTCTGGAACCAAAATCCAAAAAGTAAAGGCAAATAAAATTTTTAGTAGGTGTGAGAATGAAAGTTTTGGTGTTTTTGTCAGGTGAGGTAAGAGTTCTTTGGGACCCCTTGTGCTTCCCTTTGTCTTTTGTTAAAATTTAGTAAACCAAGTGAACTACTTTGGGCCAAAAGTGTCATGCCTCATCACTCATGACTCAACCATCCATTGTACGTAATCATTTGGTGTTTCAATTTGCAACCCTTCTTGAATTATTATGATTTTGGTCATGACTAGTTATCCTAGCTTCATATTGTGTTATATTTCTAAAACTCATCAGAGAGATCAGAGATCAAAACACAACACAGAAATCATTACAACATTCAGTTTAAAAAATAATGTGGCCATTAGAATCTCACTTTTAGAGCAAGACATGTTTGGTTGTGATTTTGTTCTATTTTTATGCGAAAATAGTTTTGAAGAAGAAGAGTCACTCTTTTATTTATTTATTTTATATATATATATATATATTTAAAAAGGGTAACTTACCCTAGTCTCATAATTTCGACATAATTATACATGCCTCCTTTTTAATTATGTTGAAGAGAGTGGAACTAATGTAGTCTATAGATGATATGAAGTCACAAACATTAACATGAAAAAATATACATTTTAGTGAGAAAAAAATAACAATACTATTTTTTTTCATTCATAAAAGTAACAAATTATTGATGAAAAGAGGGTTAGTGTAAGCAAATTAAAATTTTAAGAAAACTCAATATAATTATATTAAAATTATGAAAATTGTTTTTTTTTTTCAAATATCATAAGTGGCCAGTGTAACAAAAAAAAAAATCAAAAATCAAAAATAGCTTGCAAACACAAATTTTACATATTTTTTTAAGATAAAAAAATGAAACAGAAAACAAAAACAATAAAAACACATAAGCAGCTCAAACTCACAAACTTTATCATTAATTTTTTTTTTTTTTTGGGGATAGGGAAATCACAAACTTAAGATCTAAAGAATGGTAAGAGTTCCATTCTTAAAATTTTTTTTAAGCATAATTAAAAGTGTAGTGTGGGTGTTGATTTTTGACTACACAACCAAGTAAGGAAACTCAGTAGGAGAACACCGGTATAATAAATTAAGCCCGAACAACTTACTATAGAAAGATAAAAATCCGGTGATGGTTCGTCCATTCGGGGGCACTCCGATGGTCAAGTCAATAATCAATTATTTCTTAAAAATCACAAAATAATGCTTAACTCATTGGACAGAGCATAAAAATCGTACCTTAGACCTCCGAAAGTGTCTTACTTTTATAGCCAGTACTAACCTGATCCATGTAGAGGCCTAGTTTCAATGGACTCTGGCTCAATGCTCATCTTGGACTCCCAGCCAAATAGAGATAAACTCCCTAAGAGTTTTATCTTTATCCAAACTGAGGTTCTCTTCCATTCTAGGACTCTTGTCCCTTATCCGCTCAACTCGGATTCTGGTATCTCCACAGATAACCTCGGCCTTGACAAGATAATCTCGGCAACATGACCAAGCCACGTGGCACCTCGACTGACACTTCGGTGCCACCTTGGCTACGTGTTGTTATTCACAAAATATGTCCCCATAACTGCCCCCTAGGTTCTATTATATCAGCATTCTGAGGTGATGGAACCTACATAGCAGGTCGGTTAAGACTTACTCTCTCCTTCATGACCGAGATCATCACATGTCGACTTCACATGATCAAGACTCTGCAATCTGCTTTATCAATGACCAAGAACCAAGTCCTTCAAGTTTCTTAACCGAAATCGCTCCTGTGGCCGAAGTTTCTGTTTCATTAAATTTAACAGTAATCGGTGATTATCGGTAATCAATCAGTCATTAATCAGTAAACAGTATGGGGGTTGTTACAAAATCGCTCCTGTGGCCGAAGTTTCTGTTTCATTAAATCAAAAACCCCAAGAGTTTTGTCTGCATATGAGCTGTCATGCACGATTTCCTCAACCGTTTCCGCCACGTGTCCTTCTCTTATTAGTTCGTACCTGACACGCGCCATCAGGTCGCGTCGTTTCTCCGCACGCCGCCTGACAAACACGTCGTCCAAGGCGTATTCATTTCCTCTTGCCGCCTTTTCGAGTTTCAACAAAACTTTCTCTCTCTTTCTCTCTCTCTCTCTCTCTCTTTGTCTTCTCACTTCGTATTTTCGTATTTTCTCTTTGCTCAAGACTTTCTCTCTTTAACAATTTCTCTACCTCCATTGCTGTTTCTTCGAGCTCTCTATAACTGTGCTCCGTTCATGTTATGACTCGAACCTACCCCTATGGATTAAGGTCATAACCGGCCAGTAATCAAGAGATTACCTACGACCTCAAACCCAATAAAACATATTTCAACAGAGTCAAGGGGCCAAAATGGAAGCAAACTTAAAAATTTTGTCCATAGAGCTATGCTTACATGGTACATCAACCGTTTCCGCCACGTGTCCTTCTCTTATTAGTTCGTACCTGACACGCGCCATCAGGTCGCGTCGTTTCTCCATACGCCGCCTGACAAACAAGTCGTCCAAGGCATATTCATTTCCTCTTGCCACTTTTTCGAGTTTCAACAAAACTCTCTCTCTCTCTCTCTCTCTCTCTCTCTCTCTCTCTTTGTCTTCTCACTTCGTATTTTCGTATTTTCTCTTTGCTTAAGACTTTCTCTCTCTAACAATTGCTCTACCTCCATTGTTGTTTCTTCGAGCTCTCTACAACTGTGCTCCGTTCATGTCATGACTCAAACCCACCCCTATGGATTAAGGTCATAACGGCTAGTAATCAAGAGATTACCTACGGCCTCAAACCCAATAAAACATATTTCAACAGAGTCAAAGGGCCAAAACGAAAGCAAACTTGAAAATTTTGTCCATAGAGCTGTGCTTACATGGTATATCAAGATGTTTCACATACGTATTTTAATAACCCACACAAAAAGAAAGACCACATATAATTTTGTCTATACAGGAACATTCAAGTCATAGTCAGCCAAACCAAAAGCTTATATACAAGGGTGATGGGACATGTTCACCAAGATAACAAAGAGTAAACCAAAGGAAACAAAACAGTGTCTCGTACGTGAGACATTCAGGCTGTCTCCTCAAAACTTGACTTTCCTCACATACTTCATCGAGGCTGGGTTTGAATATCTCTTTGCTCACCTACATACACATGAATGAATGAAAGTAAGCGAAAGCCCAGTGATCAAATAAAGAAGGTACATGAATGAAATTTTAAACGAACATATCCAACGGCCTTGGGCCCATTCATACCAAACAGCCTCTGGTCCACTTTGATTCTAACAGATGGCCTCGGGCCCAATTCATTCATGTCAAACGGCCTCGGACCCAATTCACTCTTGTCAAACGGCTTTGGCCCAATCATTCCCATTAAGCGGCCTTTGGCCTAATCGTTCATGTCAAACGGCCTTTGGCCCATTCATTCATGTCAAACGGCCTCGAGCCCAATTCACTCTTGTCGAACGGCCTTTGGTCCAATCATTCCCATCAAACGGCCTTTGGCCCAATCGTTCATGTCAAATGATCGTATATGAAATGTGCGTTTGTACTTGAGGTCATAATCACATCATAATCATAATTGTAATCCAACGGCCTTATCCAATCATATAACATAATAAATATTTGTCCACAATTCAAATTAACAAACTTATGAAACTCAAATAGGAGTAAGCAATTGGACAAATAGCATACTTCAAAATATCTTTACTAAGATATTACTCGCAGTGTTCTACCGGTGGATTCGTCCTTATGCTCGACCCTACATAATTCATAACACATATTGGGTCACAAACAATTCAATCCGTTTTTTAATCTATTTATTTCTCTTTGGCTTCTTTCTTTACCTTTTAGGTCATATACAAGGCTCAATGCATGCCTAAGAGTGCCTAGAAATGGAAGAGAATGGAAAATGAAACACAAAACAACTTTTTAAAATTTTTGAGACAGGGCTCTCCACTCGAGTGCAGCTTTGGTCGCTCGAGTGGACCCCTTTGGTCCGTAAAAGTACTGGTTACCTCATTTTTGCGCTCTAGCGTGATTTCGGATGCTCGAGTTAAGAGCCAAAACATGTGACTTGGCACTCGAGCGTAACTCTCCTCGCTCGAGCGGGTATCAATGTCTGCAAAACTTCTGGGAGCTAACATTTTATGCTTGAACGGCGTTTCTCCCGCTCAAACAGACATGCTGAATTCTGAAATTTTCAGAATTGCATTTGAAGCTCAAACTTAGCATTGAAAATGTCTAAAGCTCATGTTCTTGATACAAAATCATGGAAATCTTTATACAATATGAGGACATAAGAAAATTGAGTCTAATTTGTCCAAAATCACAATTCAATTCCCAAATTATTTCACATTTTTCTTGATAACCCATACCAACTTCATATCTTCAAAACTCATGCAAATTAATTTCCATATCACTTTGAATTTTACATGCATGTAAAATATAGGCTTCATTTTTAACTTAAATAACACAATTGATGCTCATCTTTATCAAATTCAACATTATCATGTTTGCATGTGCCAAATAGCCTTCAATTCTTTATATAATGCATGTTTGTACTCAATTATGCAAGCTCATGATAATTCTTTACATGCATGTCTATACAAGTTTCAAATTTATCAAATTCAACTCAATTTATGTTCTTGATTACCATCTAACCTTGAATTTACAAAATTACAAACTCAAAATTATGAATCTATGCTCAATTACTCACCTAGGAGCTCCAATCTCCCAAATTCTACCTAGTTGTTGAGCCTAGCCTCCAAATTCCTAAGCTCTTAAATTTGAGCTCCCTCTCTCTCTACAATTGGCACACTCTCTCTCTCTAGAGTGTAACTTCAGCTAAGATGAGCTCAAAAGAAGGAATTGAGTGTATATAGGCCTATTTATAGACTTGGCTAATCAATTTGATTAAAACTAAGTAATGATGCTCTAATTTAATCATTCTGAATCTAATTACTTTGATCCGAATCAATTTTCAATTAAATTTCACCGTAGGCTCTAAAAATTACGCTAATCACAATGGCGTAGTTAATTTCAGTTTCTGACGTCTCTTCAGCCTTCAATTAAAATTCTAAAGCAGGAAATCAAACAGATTTTCCTACGGTGAACATATATAACTTCAAAAATACAAACTATCCCATAATTGGCACCCAAATTAAATTAAGCACATAATCACAAACACAATAAACATTAATTAACATAATATAGAACAGGGTTATCACAGTTCACCTTCTTCGGCGAAGCATTCACTGTTCTACTCCTCATTGCCACCGTCTGATTCTGGCGAATCTCAAATCGGTGTCTTCGACTTCGGGCCCAACTGGTGAGTTCTTTGTTTTCCTTCAATGTTCATTTTCAGCCCTCCATGATTTTGAATATGTTTCATTCTTTACCATCTGTCTATTCTGTTTCTATTGAATCTGCTTTGATGATTGTACTCTGTTTCTCTTTGTTTGATTACGAATTAATTTTCAATTCTTGAATCTTGGATCTGTGTAGTCTTTTAAAAATGCCAATCATGTTTTCTTGTTATGGCTTTTGCACACTGCATATGCTTACTCAATATTCTTGAATTTTGTTTGTTTTCGTGAGTCTGAACCATTGTTCTTTTTTGTTTTTCTTGCTTATTTCCAGATCTTTCCTTTGATTTCTTGTTTCTATATAGATTTAGGCCTTGGGTTTTGATAGAAATCATTATCTCTAGGAAAATTGAAACGAATTTCCCCTAGATCTTGAAAAACCCTTGCCCCAGTACCAATCTAGGGTTTAGCCGAGGCCTTTTATGCGCATACAAAAAAAATTTTCTCTGAAACATTGCACCAATCCACCTCAAGCTGATATCATGGGAATGTTTAGGTGGAGAGTAGATAGCCCAGAAAAACTTGAATATTTTAGAAGAGAGTTCTTCATCCCCGCCGACATCTAGCTTAGGTTGGCTGGGGAGGAAGACTCTATAATGCCTAGTGAGGACTCCATGCCCTTCTCAGTAGTTGCTTTCATAGAGTGTGGACTTAGGTTCCCTCTAGACATTCTTTTCCGAGAAATCCTTCATTATTACAAGCTCAACCCGATGCAATTGGCCATTAACTCTTATAGGGTCATCAATGGTATAATTGCTCCAGCTAGCCGAGAAAACGCTAGGATAACACTGGCCTACATCCAATATTGTTATACCATGTGTGGCCTAAAATCCGAAAAAGGCTACATCTATTACCTCAAGCCGAGATCCGTAGCCTACAAACTCATAACCGACCTCCCAGACTCCAACAAAGGTGCTGGAGATGATTACTTCATCGTCTTAGGAAACTGGGAATTTGCACCTGACGACGACCTTTATCTCTATCCTCTGCGCCGATCGGTGTTTAAAGAGGATGAGGGTAAAAACTAAGTGTCAATTTTTTTGCTTAAGACTTACCACTTTATTCCCTTTATATGTTCTAATGTATGAATTTCATTCTTGCAGCTCTCCCTCAACCCTTAAAAGATTTTCGCCAGACTTTATTTCCCGGCAAGGACTTGAAAAGGCTGCCGATTGACCAGCGCAAAGCCCCTCTGCTGTTCAATTACATTCCAACTTACAAATCTTCATCGCCCGACGTTCCCAAGAGGAGCAAGACTTCTCTCTCTGCTATAACTCCAACAGCCGCTTCCTCGTCAAGGCCGGACTAGGCCTCATTTTCTGATCCAGCTGAGGTTGCATCAATGTCTGCCCCCCAACTTATCCGGACATCACAACACCGGCGCCGACGCCGACGTCGAGCTCTACCAAATGTACCACCAGGCGGAACTCGTAGCCAAAAACGTCAAGGTTCTGACGCGTCGCCTTACAACCCGGTCAATCCCCTAATTGCTCTTCCTACGTTCCACTTTGGCACTAAAGTTATCGTTGCTTCAACTGCCGACAAGATGGCTTGTAGCAAGGTTGTCGTTGAAGACCTCTTGGCCGACCTGCCTGGTGTCGTAACAGTTCAATCCTCCCCATTACAATCCCAGCCTAAGGTTAAGCCAAATAGGATAAAGAAAGCCAAAGTCAAGGCAACAGTGACTCAGATTGACTTTGAGGACACTGTACCAATCACCAAACTAGCCGTGGCTGAAAATAGTACTCCTTCGGCCGATAAGAGGCCAGCCGAGCCCGAGGTGTCTGACCCACCACAATCCAATCTAATTTTTCTGGTTTCCGTGTCGATGCTCCCTAGACTCCATCTGTCACAGTAGGTGACCGACCTCTTCTAGCGGGGGACAGTGCTCTGGACAGTTTGGAGGTTGGTGCTGCCATTTCTGCCACCGTTCTACTTCCAGCGGACATCAATCGGATGGCTGAGCTTTTAGAGTATGAAAATTATGCAATGATGATGCAGCATTGTGTCTTGGTAAGTCTCAATACTTGTAACTTTTTATCTAACTTTAACTCTAGTTTTCATACTTAACTAATTTCCTTTGCACTCGTGCAGGCTATCCAACAGGGTCACTCCCTTATAGTCAAGATCGATGTATTCAAAAAAGGACTTACCCAAAAAACAAAGGAGGCTGCCAAACTTCTTTCCTCACTCAACAAGGCCGAGGCCCACATCTGAGGTCTTCTAGATCAAGCCAAGGCTATTGAGTTGGCCTTGAAGAATGCCAAGGGAGGACCAAGCCCAGGCCGCGAAAAATGTTGCCAAGGTCTCTAAGGCTGAGGTAAAAAAAGCCAAAAAAAAAAAAGAGGTCCAAGCCCAAACAAAGCTGCAGGCGGCGTTTGCTACCAAGGCGGTTGAGATAAATGAGGTGGATGAGAAATCTTACACTGAAGGGGTAGCCGACGTTCGCGACGAATACAAAAAACAAGTTAAACAGACATGCAACAAGGGTTACACCCTTGGTTGGATGGCTTTCTTAAAGGAGTTGGTTGTCCCTGAAGACTTGCCCCTTAAGGACGAAAGCCGACTTGTTTTGTCGTTCCCTCCCGCTCCAAGCCAGTCTAAGGACGAGGCTGAGGGGGACGAAGAAATTGAGGCTGAGAAGACTGATGCTGCTAGGGCCAAGTTCCCAACTCTGAATGAGCAAACCGTTGACTTGACTCTAGATGATGAAGATGAGGTCCCCAAGAACGCGCCTGAAGCTGAGGTCGAAAGTGCCGAGAAGAGCCTTGACAAGACTTTTCTAGAGATCGACGCTGAGATCAAGGCCGAGAAGGCTGCTGAGAAGCTCTCCCAGCTGTTTGTTGGGGCCGAAACACAACCAACCCCCAATGCAGAGCAGTCTATTTAAAATCTCCTCTCTAAACTTTGTAATTTTTCTTTATAATAGTTTTCTGCTTTTAGTTGGGCCGAAGTGCCACTTCTGTAATTGAACAAGTAATCTTTTTGTAGGTCGAAGTGCTTTTTTGCCTATGGACAAGTTTCTCTTTTGAATGCAAGTCTGATTTATTCTTTCAAGTGTTGTGTGCTTTTTTTCTATGTATGTGTCACGACCCAAACCCGCCCCAATGGGTTTAGCACCGTAACCGGCCAGTAATCCGAGATTACCGAAGGCCTGCTTAGCAGTAAGACAATAATACAGGGTACAGGGGCATGGCGGAAGCCAAAACAGTAAATAAACAATGTCCAATGAGCTATGAGTCTGTATGCAAAAAGATTTTTCATACGTATATACATGAACAATACAGAACAATATGTACAATATTTACAGTCGATCAGAACAGGGACCTGATCCCTGTTAGACAGTACAGTACTGTGCTAACAGTCTATACAATTATTACAAAACAGATACAGAGACAGATGGGGGAAATTAAAACACCCCTAAGCCATAGCTTGACAGGCTCGGAACCTCGCAATGAGACACAGTGGTTGGCTTGACAAAACTAGAGCTTACCCCGACGCTTCTAGCCACGGTCTGGTGCCTGTACACCTACATATATATATGAGTAGTGAGCTAAAGCCGAGTGAATAACATAATGCATAAAGAGGTTTAGAATGAATGTCCTTACAGTAATGAAAACAGTTCATTAAATCAGTATTTCAGTCGTTCAGTCAGTACAATCATATATGGTACATCCATTAGCGTAACAGTACAGTAAACAGTAGGTCTTGAAAGACCGAACAGTCAATAATGGCCATCAATCAGTAAACAGTAGTGGTTCCAACAAGGGAACCGACAGAGATCTCTGTAACAGTAACAGTCAGTAACAGTAGTTGCTAAGGATGCCACAATACAGTTCAGAATAAAGGACATACATTCATTCCATTAACAGTATCAATTCAGAAACAGTACAGTTCAATTGTTCAGAAGATAATCATTTTGAACATATCTTTACACAGCTGTTACTCACAGAGTTCTGGGCTACAGTAAAGCTAGAGCGCGTCCCCAGTCGCCAACCCTACACAGTTTACAGATTGAACACACACTAAGCTACACAGTTGGGAAAGATAATAACTTAATCCCTAATTTGCCTCGGTGTGTTCTACATCTATATCCTCATTAAGATACCTTAAACAAGATAATAACTTAATCCCTAATTTGCCTCGGTGTGTTCTACATCTATATCCTCATTAAGATGCCTTAAACTAGGCCTAAGAATGCCTAAGATGAAATGAAAATGCAAAGATGCACTTTAAAACATTTCTCAGAAAACAGAGGTCCCGCTTGAGCATAGTTTTCCCCGCTCGAGCGGACATAAAGACAAAGGTATCCGCTCGAGCGTATACTTTCCCGCTCGAGCGTTCTGCAAAACAGGGCAAAAGTACTGGATAGGTGAAAATCACGCTCAATTAGGCGCTTGACATCCGCTCGAGCGTAAGACACAAGGTCACGCTCCAGCGTCAATTACCCCGCTCGAGCGGACATCAAAACAATGCAAAATACTGGGAGCACGAATTTCACGCTCAAGCGCCAGTCACCCCGCTCGAGTGTGAGTTCAAAATCTGGAATTCCCAGATTTGAACCTCAAGCTCAAATTCAACTTCAAATGTATCAAATTCGATTCTTTTGGGCCCATTTCCTAGAAAACACTTCAAAAATCATAGTTTAACACGATTCAAAGCTCAATTTGTAAAATCAAGGCCCAAAGGTGAGGGAATTAAACCCAATTTCAACCAACATTTCAAGAACATGCTGAATGTGTAACATGCATGAATTCAACAACTTCAAAGCTTCAAAAGCTAGCTCAATTGAGCCAATTCTTTCCAAAACATGATGAAATCATGGACTATACCAATAATATGAACATGCATGTACCAAATTCTATGTAGTGAACCTCAAAATGCTAGGATATAAGCATGCGTGTATGGAATGAGCTTCAATTCAACATATAAGGACCAATTCTAGGCTTAAATCACTAGAGGCTCAAGAACCATGCAAGAATCAACTCAAATACACAATCAAGAAGGTAATTACTCTACCTTAAGTCTTGTATTCAAGTGTAGACACACAATTTGCACAAATCCTCTACAATTCCTTCAAGTTCTCTAGCCAATTACCAATTGAAGCCAAGTTCTCACTCTCTCACTTATCTCCTACGGTTTGGTCCCTCTCTAAGATGAACAAGAATGATGTGTATCAAAGGCTCCAAATGTTCCATGCAATGGGCCACTAAGTGGCAAGATAGTAAATAAGTCCTAGTGGTGCAATTTATGAATATTTGATCTAATTTAACCATACCAGATCATATTTCAAATAAATATACCATAAAATCACATAAATTCTAATGATCATAAAACACTAATCGATCTCCGGTTTGGCCGCCAATAAGGCCTTCAATTAGCAATTTAAACATAAAACATGAACAGATAATCAAACAGTCAAACAGATAGATAATGCATTTAAACAGAGACAATCAATCAATCAGTTTTAGATTTCAGTCAGTCAGTTCAGTATTTCAATCAGTTCAATTACTTTTCATAATCAGTCTCAGTTTAGCAGTAATCGGTAGTTTATCGGTAAACAGTGGTGAGGGTTGTTACAGTATGTTTATTGCTTCCATACTTAGAATAATTTTGCATTCTTTCAAAGTATACCTTAGCTGTATAATGACTCCGGGATATAATACCTCGGATACAAACCTTGAATGTTTTCTACGGCCAACCATCGGAATACTAACACTTAAAAATATCAAAATATTCTTAGAAGAGTTTATTTCGTATCACTTTTTACCTACATATGCTATCTTCTTAGACTTTATCCTTTCCAAGTTTGGACGACCCGGTTGGTTACCTCGAGTAAGATGTATCTCGGATACTTTATTCGTAGTTATCTCGGCTAACTCCAATTTGTAAATTTCTGAGAAATTTCAACAAGTGTTAAGCCCATTCTAACTTGTAAATTTTTCCAAAAATTTCAACAAGTCCCAAGCTCTTGTTCTCAAGTTTATTTTATCACTCCTACCTCCTGCCCGTTAATGTGAGCCTAAGTTTCACTTAAGTTCACATTAAGCACGTATAATCTTTCATCGTAGTCATATTCAAACAAAGACTAGCCGAGGTTCTCAGCCTTGGTTTCTCTATTAATCTAACTTAGCTCTATTCTAAGTTTAATTCTGCCGACATGGCAAGTCTAGTTTCAATTTCAACTTAGTTCAACTCTATTATATGCAAGTATGATTCAACTCTGTCATATAATAAGTCTAAGTTTCAATCAGAAACATCACCAACTTAATTCAGCTCTATTATATACAAGTATAATTCAACTCTACCATATAACAAGTCTAAGTTATTCATCATGTTTCAATTAGAAATATCGCCAACTTAGTTCAACTCCATTATATGCAAGTATAATTTAACTCTGTCATATAATAAGTCTAAGTTATTCGTCATGTTTCAATCAGAAATATCGCAAGAGGACTGGCCAGTCTTATTACACAAATTTCAACATCAAGCTAAAATTTTATTATTAATTCGGCTAATGACATAAACTTCAAAAAAATAAAAATCTAATGATAGAAAAACTTCAAGTTGCAAATGTTCTAGGGTCTTGGCAACTTTTTGCCCTCACTATCTTCAAGCCGATATGCCCCATTGCCGGCGACCGAGATAATTCTATAAGGCCCCTTCCAATTTGGGCCAAGCTTGCCTTTTTTAGGATCCTTCTTATTGTTGACCACTCTCCTCAGCATAAGGTCCCCATCTTTGAACTCTCTTGGGTTGACCTTCTTGTTGTAAGCCCTAGCAAGTTGTTGCTGGTATGCCCCCAGCTGAGTTATTACTCTTTGTTTTTTTTCCTCCAGTGGGTCTAGATCTCAGGCTAGAAATGCCTCATTAGTACCATTTTCCACTCCTTGGGTTCTGATCCCTGGAATGCTGACGATTTCTAATGGGATAACTACTTCAGTGCCATAAGCCATGGCAAATGGGGACTCCCCAGTTGATCTCCTCGGCGTAGTCCGATATGCCCAGAGTACATTGGACAACTCTTCCACCCATTTTTCCTTTACTGTTTTTAACCTCTTTTTGATCCCATCCAAGATAGTCTTATTGGATGCTTTTGTTTGACCATTACACTGAGGGAAACTTAGAGTAGAGTAATAATTCTTGATTTTGTACTTTGCATAGAAGCTTTTGATTAGCTTACTGTCAAACTGTGTACCATTGTCTGCCATTATTGCCCTTGGGATCCCAAACCTGGTGATGATGTTCTTCTATATGAAGTTTTTCACATCAATATCTCAAATTTTCGCAAGGGGTTCAGCTTCTACCCACTTTGTAATGTAATCAGTTGCTACCAGCAGGAACTTCTTTTGCCTAGTTGCTTGGGGTAGTTGTCCAAGAAGATCCATACCCCACTGGGCAAATGGCCAAAGGCTAGATACTGGGTTCAGATCTGCTGTTGGTTAATGTATCAAAGGTGCAAACCTTTGACACCGTTCGCACTTTCTAACGTAGGTTTCGACATCCTTCTGCATGTAAGGCCACTAGTACCCCTGAGTAATGGCTTTATGAGCAGGTGATCTGTCTCCAACATGGCTTCCACATACTCCTTCATGTATTTCATACAAGAAGTCTTCAACTTGGGAGGGATGCACACATCTCAAAAGTGGACCACTAAAAGACCTTTTGTAGAGATGTCCTTCTGCTGTTAGGCTAAACCGTGCCAATTTTAGTCTAGTCTTATGTGCCTCTTTTCGGTCATCTGACAGCTTCCCATCTCTAAGGAACATTACTATTGTTTCTATCTAACTTGGGCCTATCTCCACACACATTGCTTCGTACTCTGTGTCAGTGGTTCCACACTTCGGTCTGAAAAATAATCAACCATTATTGTCTTTGCCCTCCTGACTTTATTGCACTAGCCAGGTTAGCCAAGGCATCGACATAGCTGTTGTTATCTCGGCTAACTTGCAGTAGTCGGCAATCCTGAAGCAAGGCTAACAATCTAACCTCTTTGACATAGGCTATCATT